GATAACGCTAATGCTGATGCTTTATCTCGATTGGAAGATGATACCCTGCACAAAGTGCCAGAGAAGGAAGGAGGAAGTGTAATGGATCACCATGGGATAACAATTGTTGAGGATATTATTTAATCACTTTTGACAGATTAGATCTATATGTTATTACTGTATGTACATGTGTATTATTTATTGTGTATTAATTGTTTGTGTAAACAGGAACTTTCTAGATTATTCTCTTAGTCTCTTGATCTTGTGTTTGTATCCTTCTTCTAGAACATTCTGGACATCTTGCTAGTATATATAAGCACGCACATTTCTCTCTCCCTTGTTCGTTTTTGAGTAAAATATCTTTTTAAAACTAAAGACCACTCAGCGTTATCTTCTGTCGGTGATCCTTGACAAATTCCTTGAAAATTAATTTAATATGGTACAAGATGGCAGAATAGTGGAAATTTGTGAATATTAATTCTACGAACTTCCAGATATGGGTCATTCGTGAAATTTATTATCCTTTAAATAAACCTGCTATAGGGTATATCATTTTGTGTTGTATTTATAGCACAACAGTACTCCATTGTTTAATGCTGTTAAGAGTGGTAGTATTGAAGCTGTTGATATTCTATTAACTAATAGAGCTAGAACTGATGTTGTGTCTGAAGTAAGTATAGTGCTGGCATTTTTGTGAGTGATCAAAAATTAAACCGTGACATGCATTGTGTGTGTGCTTGGTAGCAATTATGTGTGTCTTGTAGACAAAATGATTCTTCATTTATTGAGTCACTAGGTGACATCCATTGACCATTGATTTAAATTTATTAACCTACAAACCCATCAATGAAATATTGTACTCTTGATTTTTGTGTCCTAGTAGCTTAATTTATTTTAATTAATTTTATTATGTATGTAGTATTCTGGTACTCCATTACACTGTGCTAGTGAAACTGGTAATGCTGATATTACCAAGTTATTAATAACTAAAGGAAAGGCTGATGTGAATGCTGCGGATAAGGTTTAAGTTATTAAGTAATCATTTCATTTTGTGTTGTTTTGTAGAACAACAGAACTCCATTGTTTAATGCTGTTAAGAGTGGTAGTATTGAAACTGTTGATATTCTATTAACTAACGGAGCTAGAACGGATGTTGTTTCTAAAGTAAGTTTTATTGTACAATACTGAATAATGTTGTTACGTGTTGTTAATCATGTGTTATTATTACTAATTATATGCATTTAATTGTGCATAAAGCAACATAAAGGTCAAGTGTCCTGTGATTTTTAATTTATGGAATTTACATTATTAAGATGACGAT